GAATTCTGGGAGTTGAAGTCCACAAGGCATAAAGTTGCCAAGGTTGGAGACACCTGGACTACAGGAACCAGGAGAACCTGAGGGCACAGATAAACCTCCAAGTGCTTTAACAATAGCCTTCTAAAAGGAATGCAAAGGACCAGCTGTTTGCAAAAGAATATAAATCCTTCCATTCCACATTCTCCTGTCAGAGCTGAAGAAGCTTCTTGAATGAGAAGCGAAACCTCTTCAAAAGGGGGAAGAAAAAAAAGTACAAGGAGTCCAGTTGCCTCCAGGAAAAGCACCTTTGGGACAATTGGACCAAGGCCGTTTTCCCCTGTAGCGGGCGCCTCGCCGATTCTTTCCCGTTCATTCACTCACCTGAAGTTCGTTCCGCGGGAAAATCCACCACGCAGCCCAACTCCCTCGCTCGCCTCTCCATTGCCTGCGTTCCCAACCGTCGTCTTATTCCTCCCCACTCACTTTCCACTCCCCCACCCCCACCCCAACATTCCGTCCCGGAAATGCCCGGCTTTTTGTCCCTTCCCCCCACCCCCCCACCCCACCCACAAACAGGAAGGATGGCCGAGCGCGCGCGCGCGCGCGACTGTTCTACCGCGCTCTCCCTTAGCAACTCGGAGGCCCTAGCAACCGAGTCAACCGTTCGGGCCCCGGGGGAAGAGAAGCCGCTCGGATCCTCCGCTGGCTTGAAGAAGGGCATCCCGAGTCCGAAAAAGGGCGGAGCGGAGGCTGGAAGAGTTTTATTATGCGCCGGGGACGTGATGCGTGGTGGTACGGGGAACTGTTATCTGAGGGAAAGCGAAGCGAGACGACAATTGAAATCAATAGGGATTCTCAAAAGCGGAGAACGGAAAGGGAGGCTGGGCGGGCTGGAGAGCACACTAGATACTGTCAATAATAACCTGAAGCCGAGCGAGCTTTGGGCGGTGGGGAGGTTTCTTTAAGGCGGCCCTTAAGCAATGGGAAGTTTTACAACTTCGGTTATATTTTTGCCCTTCACAGCTGATCTCTGAGAAAGAAACAAAGGAAGAAGAGGAGCAAAACCGCATACAAGTTGCAAGCGTTTGTCCCTCGATAACGAGGTTTTGTTTTTATACTTGTGCGCGCGCGTATACACACGCACATGTACACACACACGAGAGTAGGTTTAAAAAAAAAAAGATTAACAGAGCTGGAAGGGACCTTGTACTGTAGGTCATCTAGTCCAGAAGTCTCCGACCTTGAAAACTTTAAGACTTGTGGACTTTAACTCCCAGAGTTCCTCAGCCAGCTTTGCTGATTTTTAGTCCAACACCCCACCCCCTCAAAAGCTGGAAACCCTACACCAGGGGTATCCAACCTTGGCAACTTTAAGACTTGTGGACTTCAACTCCCAGAATTCCTCAGCCAGCTTTGCTTTGCTGGCTGAGGAATTCTGGGAGTTGAAGTCCACAAGTCTTAAAGTTGCCAAGGTTGGACACCCCTGCCCTACACCATCTCTGACAAATGTCGGTCCAAACTCTTCTTAAAAGAAGACTAGGGTACTGTGACCCTAACAACTGCATGGTTGAATAATTCTCACTACAGACCTCAAGGCAAGAAGGAGGGCTTCTTGTTGGAAGGCTGGGGGGCAGTTTTCAGCCCAAGGTGTAGCAAAAACCCGACTATGAATATTGTTATTGTTTCTTATCATACAAGAAAGCCAGCTAAGTGATAAATAGCACCAAGACAACTTTAGCTCAAAATGCTAAAAAGGACTGCTCTTGATCTGCCACGCAGGAAGGGTTTTCAGGAAATTTCAAAGATGCAGAACACTGAGAAGTCAATAAATAAATAAATAAAGTCAGGGCAGAAGGCAGCAGTAAAGTACTAATAGAGGTAGCCCTCAACTTACAAGTGAGCCCAAAATTTATGTTGCTAAGTGTGAAAATTATGAAGTGTGTTATGCCCCATTTTACGACTTTTCTTCTTCCCACATTTGTTAAGTGAATCACTGCTGTTGTTAAATTAGTACCATGGTTGTTAAGTGAATCTGGTTCCCCCATTGACTTTGCTTGTCAGAAGGTTGCAAAAAGTGATCACATGACCCTGGAACGCTGCAACTCTGGTAAATGTGAGTCAGTTATCAAGCATCTGAATGTAAATCACATGACCATAGGTTTGCTGCAATGGTCTTAAGTGTGAAAACAGGCATAAGTCACTTTTTTCAGTGCCATTGTAACTTAGAATGGTCACAAAGTAAATTGTTGTAAGTTGAGGACTACCTGTATATTGTTTCCAGGAAAATACTTGAACATATCTATGAAGCCACAAACTGTTCACTGCTGTTGTTGTTTCCTGTTAACAAGTGAAGTTTCTAGCTGTTGCTCTAAATCAGCATTCTAGTATACAGCTTAGTAAAGTTAAATCTAAATTGCTCTTTTTTGCTGGTAGTACTCAGCTATATCTAACAATATATTGTGCGTAATCCTTGCCCTCTGGGCCTCAATTATCTAAAAAGTTTTTGCATGGTCAAGACTCAAGTCAACCTGAACAAATAAGACCTGAAGCAGCAGTTAGTTTTCAAAGAATAAATTGCATTAAAAGAAATGTGTGGTTGCCAACAGTATTTAAGGCTGTTGCATATTCTGAGTTTAAAAAGCTGAAACAGAGAAATGTTTGTTTCATATTATACATAATTAAAATAAATGCATATGTTTGGAATAGCTAGTGGTATTTTTTCTTACAGAACACTAAAAGTAAGATGAATTTTATCCAGAATACCATAACAGAATAATAGAGTTGGAAGGGACCTTGGAGATCTTCTAGTCCAGTAATAGCCAGCTGGGAAGGAGAGATGCAGTTCTCCTCAACACTGCTGGCAGTCTCCCCACTCTTCACCACCTCTACAGGGTGGCTTAGCCCCGAAACTAGCTGACTCGGGGCGCTCCAGCGGCGAGCACAGATCGAAGCCTCGCAGAGATGAGGTTTCGGTCTGTCGCTGAAGAAGCTCAAACCAGAAGTCCCCCGGCCCTACACCTTTTTAGACTAGTGGCTGTCCAGTGTCTGCGTTAAATTTTGGACATTTGGAAGTTTGGACTATTTACTGGTATTCTGCCTTAGTTATGTGTCCTCTTTCCATTTTTTTGAACTTATCCTTTTTGTCTTTCAGTTTATCAGAGAGATGTTTGTGCAACCAAACCTGTTCTTTGATTTCTTGTTTTTCTTTTTCAATTCTGTTGTGTAAATTTCAGATTGTTAGATTCCATTAAACTATTTAAACATCTAGCAAAAGTGTTTATTTGAACAAAATAAAAATCCAAACATGAATAAATATACCATGGATAGATCAATTAATACAATGTGCTAAACAATTCTGGATTTTGTATAATATCTTACACAGTTGTATCATTTCACATGGTTGCCAAAAATTAATCAAAAAAAGATGACATACAAAAGGATATTGATCACCAACTGAAGATGATATTTTTGGAGCTTTTTGCCTTTAAGAGTTATATAATACCTCAAATTTTCAAGTCTAATTATGGGATTAATGGAAAGATTACTTGATTCTTTTAACCAACTTTATACTTTAGTAAGACAAAAGATATCCCAAGTTTCAACTGAATACAAAAAAAGCAATATGTATGTTAATTGCCATGTGGAATAAATAGGCAGCCTTCAGGAATCAATATATTTTAGGCATTATTCAAATAACTACAATTAATAATATTTGGAGAATTATACAGAAAAGTTTGAAAAAGGAATCTAATGAATTCAGGTTATAGTCTGGAAATATGTAGAAGTATAGTTCCGAAATGCTATTTATCTAAAAATAAATAGTAAATGTGCTATGAAAAGAGAATTGTATAAGAAAATAGCCTACGGTACTGCTATCTGGATATAATCTCCATATCTCATTTCTTGTTAGCTAAATTAGAAAATGTAGTTAATGGAGGGATTTAAGAAATAGGGTAACATTTTATTAAATTTGCTAGAGCTGTTTCTGGGAAGACAGCCTAATTAAAATTAATAGAATTGCTGGTTTCTCTTTCCTAAGATTTTCAAATTATGACTGTTAAGCATTAAGATGAACAATATATTTTTCAGCTAGTTGGATGTCATTAAAAGAACCAAATCTAGTAACAAGAAAATGGATCCTAGCACTTAGAAAATCTAGCTGGCTGATACAGTCTGACATATGTAATAATTAACCAATTTAACCTATTGGATTGACGTTCCCAAAGGCTAAAGTTGTCATACTGAATTTATGATTATTTGCTCATTTTGTTCGGAATATACTATTTCTCATCATTAGGTTTCTTATTCACAGTGTGAGTGAAATCCAGTATAGAATCAGAAGAAATCTGTCTTGTGTAAAGGGACTTTATTTACTCTTTATTTCTTTTCTATCATTATTAAATGATTCTATTGCCTCTCCAAACTGTTCCTTCATGACTTCCAATTTGTTCCTCATCGGTGTCAGTGCAGAATCCATGATTGTGTGCAGTTTCGCCCGAGCTCACTTGCTGGAGGGTCCCAGTCAGGACCGGAACCACCCTTGCGGTGGTTGAAGAAGGGGGTGGTTGAAGAAAGGGGTGGTTGAAGAAGGGGGAAATCGCCTGGAGGGCTGAGGGGAGCCGCAACTCCCCTCCCTGATAGGAAAATCCCTCCCAAACTGTTCCTTCACTAAGTGTCTGAAGGCAGACATAAGGACCTTGAAAGTTGCAAGATAGTAAGGAATTAAATTCCCCTTTACAATTCCTTTAGTGGAAAAAATGGAAGTTGAACTCTAACTGCATATTATTATGTATTATGTGGTATTAATTATTATCAGTAATAATGGAATCTTAAATTGACACTTTCAGAGCTCTTATAAATATATATATTTATTTCAGTTTGGAGTGGATTTCTTTAGAATAGATTCTACACCTAGTTTTTTATCTACTGCTTGTTTATCCATATGTTAAATAACTTTATTCTCTTTTTTAAATAGTTTTATTTTATTTTATTTTGTCAAGCAATTATAAGATAACAGGTATAAGTATAAACATAGTTATGAAAGTTTGTATCTATTGTGTGCTCTTGTATATTGTTATGGTTGAAGCTGAAGCATTCACTGACAGGTAGGACATTGCAATGTATAATTTTATATACTATACTCAGATTGAACTGAAGGCAGCGTAGTTCTAGGTTTTCTAGGTCTAGAATTTTAAGTCTGGTGGCATAAGGTATTCTGCAACAAGTAGAGGAGTGGAGAACTCTTCTTGTGAAATATTTCTGGACTTTCTCAACTGTGTTAATATCAGATATGTAATGCGGGTTCCAGACTGATGAGCTGTATTCAAGTATTGGTCTAGCAAATGTTTTGTATGGTCTAGTTAGTAGTATGATATTACCAGAGAAAAAGCTATGTAGGATTAGGTTAACAAGTCTTAATGCCTTTTTGGCTATGTAGTTACAGTGGGCTCTAGCACTTAGATCATTGGAGATGAGTACTCCAAGGTCCTTGACAGAGTTTGGATCATCAACAAGGTCTTGACTATTCAGCTTGTATTTTATTTTCTGATTTTGATAGAACTCTTTGTTTACAAGGGAAATCCCATTATATGAATGTGGACTTGTTTTAGGTATTAAAGTTCTTAGTAACTTTGAGGTCATACAGTAGATACACCACATTGAGCTATAAATTAACTAAGGATGGCTCATTAAAATTTGTATTTTTTTAAATACAAATATTAGTTATAAGTAACAGTTCAGAAATTTTCTGAAATGAAAGAGACATGAACTTTACATTTTGCTCTCTTGTCAGCACGAATATTATCGTAGTTATGACTAATATATTTGCAGTCACAACTCTTTGATTTATTGTGAACTTTTTTTTCTCCATGCAAATACTCTGCCATAGACAAAAGCTCCTAATTTAATAATGGATTTCTGTGTTTTTCTTAGGACCAGTTTGGTTTACATAGGTTTAATGCTGCCCCCAGTTGTAGCTTTTTTAACTGTTAATACCAACATTCTTGTGATCAAATGTGAGTTTTGTCCCATGTGTAGAACATAAATACATGGTGCAGTGTTCTTATTAAATATGCATTTATTATCAAGCTGCAAAATTTATTTTAGTTTGAATGGGATTGAAAATATACTACACATTTAGGAAAATATTAAGATATAAGATAAAAGGAAACATGAAGAAACCAGAGCTGTGAATAATCTTTAGAAAAGGAGATTAGTGGAGAAATAATTATATTACTGCCAAAATGGCTGTGTAGGGAGTTTGTTTCAGCTCTATTTTAATTAACCATTCTGAAGCACTTAACCAAATGTGCCAAATTCTTGAATCAAGCTATTAGTTGGTAAATCTAAAACTATGTAATTGAAAGTTGGCTTGGATTCTGGTCTTAAAATATTTCTGTTAAATATCAGAAAGAACAATACGGTAGTTTTCATTCCCGTTCAAAATCCTGAACCAGGGGATTCATCCAAATAATTTTTGGATTTTTAAGACCATTTGCGAAAATGTCAAAATTGAGATAATATATTAGCTACAATTAAGATATAATTAGTATACTTCAAGGGACACGGTGGCTCAGTGGATAAGACGCTGAGCTTGTCGATCAGAAAGGTTGGCAGTTCGGTGGTTCGAATCCCTAGCACCGCATAACGGAGTGTGCTCCGGTTATTGTCCCAGCTTCTGCTAACTTAGCAGTTTGAAAGCATGTAAAAATACAAGTAGAAAAATAGGGACCACTTTGGTGGGAAGATAACAGCGTTCCATGCGTTTAGTCATGCTGGCCACATGACCATGGAGACATCTTCAGATAGCGCTGGTTCTTTGACTTTGTAACAGAGATGAGCACCTAGAGCCAGAAACAATTAACACGTATGTGCAAGGGAAACCTTTATCTTTAGTATTCTTCAGTGGGCAGATTGGGAAAGCTAATCTGAGAAAGTTAGCTAATTTGAATTTTAATGTGATCTTTGTTTTATTTATCAAAAACAAAATGAGTTTTTCTACAAGCTTGCCAATGTTTAAACTCATTCACATAAGAATAATTTTCTTATTGGCAGAATCTTGTTATCAGAGATGTGGGAAGATGACTAACGGGTTACGCAGTAAACTGTAAAAATCTTGTTTCATGAAGCTTTTCAGTTGAACTCATATGGGTGATTGACAATACAATATTTTATTACATCAAACATAATGTTATGCTAGTTTTTTATTCCATCCGTTTGTTTGTAGTACCTCAGTTTACACTAAATCATAAAGGGTAAATTCACAAATCAAATTTGATTATAGACTCATTACATACAGTACTTGTAACGGCATCCCTTTATAAAATAACCTTTCAAGATTTATTGTTTGTTTGAGTCGGATCTTTCTGTACTTATTATATAAAAATGTCTATTTAGGGTTCAATATAATTAAAGTTACAGTTTTTTCTTTGATTGATACATATTTTATTATGTATATATTTTTGTATTGATGGGTGTGTGTATGTGTGTATAAGCACACGCTTCAGTGGCATGATTTTTGAAACACCTAAGAAAATGGCTGAGACCTATCTTAACTAAAAAGCCCTGGGAAAATAGATTGAAAGAAATGCTTTTACCGTGGTAGAAAAGCTTTGCATGCTTGGAATAAAGTTATCAAATATAAAAATGTGTGAGCAAGTTTATTCAAAAATATGAAAGTGTGCGGTTATTTTGCAATGCTGTATATGAGGAAACTTAGAAAGGACCTCTTGTCTGTGTAAGTCATCAAACTAGATAGAATGTCTGAGGATTTTCTGAGGTTGCAAATATTAATCTAATAAAGTCTTAATTTCTCTTTTTTATTTTCTCACTAGAAAAACCATATCTGACATGACTTCTATAAAGGAGCAAGCGGCAATCAGTAGATTAATAACTTTCTTACAAGAATGGGATAGTGCTGGCAAAGTTACTCGAAAACGTATTCTTGAAAATTTCATTCTTGCTAACCAAGACAAGACTGGTCCAGAACTTGAGATAGAATTCTCACAGGGAGCCAGTTTGTTTCTGGCACGAATAACTGCCTGGCTCCGGCTAACGTATCCATTTGGACAATTGATGGTCAGGTAGAACAAGAAAATACTATGAAACAATATTGAAATTACCAGGATGGGCTATATATTTAATTACACCAAGAAACACAGTTTTGAAAATTGTAGTCTAAGATACAGAAACAAATTCTGAAAGGGCATTCACTATTTGTATTCTTTCATGGCAAAATAAATAGCCTGTATGATAGTTTCTTAAAGCTAGCAGATTTACTATAACATAAATATAACTTGTTAAGCCCAGACACAGAATTTTTGTAAATACTTTAAAAAGAACAAAGAAAAAATAAATTCAACTAAGGTTTATTCAGCAGAATATATTAAAATAAAAGCCTTAACTAAGTCATAATAGCTATATGTACGGAACATGTCTGGAACAACAGTTAAAATCAATTGGCATCTTTCTTTCAGCTGCAAGTGGGTGAGTAAATGTACCATTTTCAGGAGTCAGAGGAACCTTACAATTTTTAATCTATGTTGTTGAAAGAAGGAATGTTCTTTATGTTCTTGTGCTATCAAAGGATATACAGGTAGTTCTTGACTTATGAGCCCAAAATTTCTGTTGCTAAGTAGGTGTAACCTGAGTTTTGCCCCATTTTATGACATTTTCTTGCCACAATTATTAATTGAATCAGTGCAGTTGTTAAGATAGTCAAGGACTATCTGTATTGGAAGTTCTGTTGGTTATGCTTCTGCATTTTCTTGTTTGATGAATCTCTGTTTTCTGCACTTTGCTTTCTGAAGACATTTATTTATAAGTTTTTGAAAATAAGGTATGGTTACCGTTTTAAATATTCTTTGGTAGCATCAAGGATACATTGCCTGAATAGTAGCCTATCCCAGATTGGATAAATGTTATATAATCCTTTATGATACACTTGCAGATTTTATTACATTTAAAAATCATGCAATGCAATTGCATACCAAGGATAGAAGCAATTGCAGAAATAACCCTTGAAAGCATTTTGATAAAATTTGAACTACTATCCCCTTCAGTTTGTTTGGATGGGATGCAAATTGCTACAAGTTAAATTGAAATTGAAAGTTCTAATTTTTTGTGATAAAAGTATTGCTAACTTGTATGTCATCACAAAAAAATAAAAAAAACATTGAGAATGATGACAGTTTACTGAGAAAAGTCATTATCTCTACGAGTAAGTGAAGTAGTGTTAAATAGTATTCTATGTATGCACACGCACGCACGCGCACACACACACACACACACACACACAGAGAGAATTGCCATAAAGCCTGTTGTTTTGTTCTTTAAATTTTTTGCAGCCAGCGATATCTTCTTGAATTCCTGGAAATTGGTGGTATCCTCACATTATTGGAAATACTTGGGCTGAAACAAGTGAAAGAGGAAGACAAAATGGAGTCTGTAAAACTTCTTCAGTTAGTGGCAAAATCTGGCAGGAAATTCAAAGAGCTTATCTGTGAGAGCTATGGTAGGCTTATTTCAACACCTGTTGTTTAAGAAAAGCAGTTTGAGGTATCAGGATAATTATTTTCTCACACAATTAAAATCTTTCCTGTCTCTGAATTGAAAGAAAAGAATTGCTTCCCTTTTGTAATTCAGCAGAATGATAAATCATTTCAATTATTCAATTTACATTAAAGCACTGGAAGTCTTTGGTCTTCATAAGAATGATTTCGTTCAACAAGGTATTATGGCTTTTTTTTCTTTATTGCAATATGTTAGAGCATGCATAGAGTTAATTGAAACATAATTCCCTTTTGAAATTGCTACAAATTGCTAACTTTCTGAAATTCCCTTTGAGCATTCCAACTACTAGAATATGAAATTTAATTCCATTATATATCTCTAGATCTGTATACAGTATCTATGTATCTGTTTTCTTTAGTTTTCACGGGTACTTACATGTATGGTATTCAGCTTTGTTGGGTGTTTTTCCACGTCATTATAGTTGTGCTTTTAAAGTTGTAGCAATGTTTCGGCAGAATCTCATCTGCCATCATCAGGCACAATACAGAAGCCTGATGATGTCAGATGAGATTCTGCCGAAACGTTGCTACAACTTTAAAAGCACAACTAAAATGACATGGGAAAATACTCGAACAAAGCTGAATACTATCTATGTATCTATATCTACAGTGTATGTGTGTGTGTGTTTCCAATATCTCTATAAATCACCCATTCAGTTCATCCTTTTTTCTAAAATATGGATACATATCGTAACATTAAAGACCACCAGATGCTGAATCACAAATTCCCATAATCCCAGCCAGTTATGAGGATGCTGGATGACGTAATTTAACAACATTTGGCATCTATTCATAAGGAACACTAATTTTTGTATAAAACAAAACACGAGTTTGTGCAACTGAGATGTAAACCCAATCGAGTTACTTGGATTAATTTTGCATAAGGATTGTAGGCTTTAATTAGCACAGTTTCAGAAACTTGTCTATTTAAAAAGCCAGATATTGCAATGAACAGTTCCTTGCTTCCAAAACAAAATATATACACTGCTCAAAAAATAAAGAGAACACTTAAACAACACAATGTAACTCCAAGTCAATCACACTTCTGTGAAATCAAACTGTCCACTTAGGTAGCAACACTGATTGACAATCAATTTCACATGCTGTTGTGCAAATGGAATAGACAACAGGTGGAAAGTATAGGCAGTTAGCAAGACATCCCCAATAAATGAGTGGTTCGGCAGGTGGTGACCACAGACCACTTCTCAGTTCCTATGCTTTCTGGCTGATGGTTTGGTCACTTTTGAATGCTGGCGGTGCTGTCACTCTAGTGGTAGCATGAGACGGAGTCTACAACCCACACAAGTGGCTCAGGTAGTACAGCTCATCCAGGATGGCACATCAATGCAAGCTGTGGCAAGAAGGTTTGCTGTCTTTCAGCATAGTGTCCAGAGCATGGAGGCAGTACCAGGAGACAGGCCAGTACATCAGGAGATGTGGAGGAGGCCGTAGGAGGGCAATAACCCAGCATCAGGACCGCTACCTCTGCCTTTGTGCAAAGAGGAACAGGAGGAGCACTGCCAGAGCCCTGCAAAATGACCTCCAGCGGGCCACAAATGTGCATGTGTCTGCTCGAAAGGTCAGAAACAGACTCCATGAGGGTGGTATGAAGGCCCAACGTCCACAGGTGGGGGTTGTGCTGCTTACAGCCCAACACCGTGCAGGATGTTTGGCATTTGCCAGAGAACACCAAGATTGGCAAATTCGCCACTGGCGCCCTGTGCTTTTCAGAAATGAAAGCAGGTTCACACTGAGCACATGTGACAGACATAACACAGTCTGGAGACGCCGTGGAGAATGTTCTGCTGCCTGCAACATCCTCCAGCATGACCGGTTTGGCAGTGGGTCAGTAATGGTGTGGGTAGCATTTCTTTAGGGGGCCGCACAGCCCTCCATGGGCTCGCCAGAGGTAGCCTGACTGCCATTAGGTACCGAGATGAGATCCTCAGACTCCTTGTGAGACCGTATGCTGTTGCAGTTGGCCCTGGGTTCCTCCTAATGCAGACCTCATGTGGCTGGAGTGTGTCAGCAGTTCCTGCAAGATGAAGGCATTGATGCTATGGACTGGCCCGCCCGTTCCCCAGACCTGAATCCAATTGAGCACATGTGGGACATCATGTCTCGCTCCATCCACTAATGCCACGTTGCACCACAGACTGTCCAGGCGTTGGGGGATGCTTTAGTCCAGGTGTGGGAGGAGATCCCTCAGGAGACCATCCACCACCTCATCAGGAGCATGCCCAGGCATTGTAGGGAGGTCATACAGGCACGTGGAGGCCACACACACTACTGAGCCTCCCTTTGACTTGTTTTAAGGACATTACATCAAAGTTGGATCAGCCTGTAGTGTTTTTTTCCACTTTAATTTTGAGTGTAACTCCAAATCCAGACCTCCATGGGTTGCTAAATTTGATTTCCATTGATAATTTTTGTGTGATTTTGTTGTCAGCACATTCAACTATGTAATGAACAAAGTATTTAATAAGAATATTTCATTTATTCAGATCTAGGATGTCTTATTTTTGTGTTCCCTTTATTTTTTTGAGCAGTGTATATAATCTGTAGCATTTAAGACAAATTTGATATTTTAAAAACTGAAAAAGTATTTAGGAGATCAATCATTAGGATTGTAGAATTAAATTATTATCAAAAACTATTTAATGAGAGCATTTTATCAAGCTCATGTAGGATTATGGGAGGGGACTGAATCATTTTTCTCCACTAATGTAATCCCCCAAATCATCTGCATTCCATAGCTATTGATATTTCCATTTTAGAAATGAAATGTCTATCACTTACACATTATATCCAATTTCAGAAAAGAATTCTGATGGGAAAAAAGTCCCAATACGTCATGTCACTGTGACGCTGCGAATTTGATAGCCCTGCTCTATAGCCTTGTTTTGGTTGCAATCTGCTTGATACTCATCAGTTCCTATATAGAGAGAATCCTTGCCCACAATGTTTGGCATAGTCAGTATTATTTACAAGATGTTTTCATTGGTTAATTGAGATTGCTGATGATTTCAAAGGAACTCATTACTGGCAGATTTTTCTTAACCTACTTGTTCAGAAAGCTTTTTCCTACACAGGTGTGCGATCAATTGCTGAATTTTTCGCCACTTCCAAGTCAGAAGCAACACAAGAGCAAGTGCAGATTCTTCTGGATACATTAGGACACGGCAACCCCAAATATCAAAATCAGGTGTACAAAGGGCTGATTGCTCTTTTAAAGTGCACTTCTCCCAAAGCCCAGCAGCTGTCACTACAAACACTCAGGATAATACAGGTCAGCCAAATAAGTGGGAAGTGGGAAGGTACTTGTATGCAACCTCAGTTTTATGGATTGTATATAATTTTGTTTCCTTTAAATTAGTTGATAGATTTGAAAATGCAGTGACCAACAGTAATAAGGTGTAACTGTCAAGACATATGCTCATAACTGAGAATGAAATACAGTAGAAAGCTTTTTATAGCTACACTGTGAGTAGCTACATCTTTGGACCGTGACATTTCTATTATCTTAGCCATGATTTTAGAATCAGTTTTAATTTTAGCATTGTCACAGTGTTATAGGGTTCTTTTTTTTGAACCGAAGGTGTATTTTGCAACATGAGGGTGGCAAGTGAGAGAGAAAAAAGACTGGAGACTTTTATGCTATTTTTACTATTTATAGTGAGGCTGTTTAAAGCAGATATTTATAACAGGTATATACAATGTAATTGGATCTCAGGCTTGCTCCTAAATATTCCCCCAGAGATTATCCCCCACTAGCTCTCCTGCTTTGTCCCTGTTTTACTCATCTTCCTTCCTCATTTCTGGGTTTACCAAGAGGAAATGAGAAAAAAAGAACCGGCTGGATTTACTGTAATATGCTCAGCACCGTTGATTTTTCTCCTGGATTTCCTCAGCCAAATGCCAACTGCTTTTCTATTAGGGGAACAACCTCTAATAAGAGTCTTTTCCAGTTAGTCCCTAGGGATCAGGGCTTCACCAGCAATGTTAATCCCCTCCGTTCTGTCTTGAGTCTTGGGTGTTGATATCTTCTCCCTATTCCCTCCTTCCAGGGAAGTCAGCCATAGATTTTTCTTCTCCCTTCTCAACCAGGAACCGGCAACTGCTTTGCATACTCACTTAACTTCACTTTCCAGTCTTTCTTTCCAGCCCCTCTGTTTTGCACAGACCTTTTCTCTCCTCTCCTTTTTCTAGTTCTCTCTCCATTTTTTTTTAGTCAGACCAGCAGCATGGTCACCAGCAGCTAAGGAGATGGGTGCTCTCCCAGGGCTGTAGTTCCCTGCACCTATATGCAGACTGGACCAATAGGATGCTGTTTCCGCACCTGCATTTTCTAGCCATAAAGAGAGTAATGAATTTATTATGCATAAATTTCAGTAAAACAGAATTTGTTTCCCCTGATGTCTAAAATGTTATCGAATTGGTAATCATGGAAGGGGTGAGGGATAATCTCGGAAAGAAAATACAGTACAAAAATGCAAGGTATGATGTAGGAACATCTGTAGGGCAGTAAAAAAACATCCAGCTGATGGCCAGAACTGCATGATTGTAGGGCAGACAAAAACATCCAATTGGTGGCCATCATCTTGACTTCTTTGACATCCCACTCCAACCTGGATATGCCCTTTGTCTAAGCCTAACTCTTACAGTGTCTGGTTAGCAGTGTTGCCTATGGATAATCTTCGACTTAAGACCAACATTTCTCTTGCAAAGCAAGACAGTTGTAAGTAAGTTTTACCCCATTTTACCACCTTGCCACAGTTGGTAAGTGAATGATTGCAACTGACTTGTCAGAAAGTTGTGAAAGGTGATCACATAATCCTGGAACATAGCAACCTTCATGAATACATGTCAGTTGCCAAGGTTACAAAAGGTGATCACATGACTGAGGGAATGCTGCAAAGATTGGAAGTGTGAAAAACGGTCATACATCATTCTTTTCAGTACTGTTGTAACTTTGAACGGTCACTAAATGAATTGTTGTAAGTTGAGGATTACTTGTACATTCAGGCTTTGCGTAATTCTCATAGGCTGTATTATATTGTAATTCCTTCTGACCTTGATGTTTTTCATTCTCCCATTCTTTGTTTTCTGGTGCATATGTGTTGTATGAATATACACACAAACACATACATGCACACATATGTCCTACCTGTCAATTTAGGGAAATAATGTATATTTCCAACAAAATGGGTCTGAAAGTCTGCTATAATAAATGTTCATATTTAAGTCTTTGTACAACTATTTATTTATGCTGTACCACCTGAATATATCTCCTTCTCTGAAACCCAAATTGAATGGAATTGGTTTTCATATCTGAAACAAATCTTGTCTAATAAAAATACTTAGGGCCACTGACTTGTCATAGCAATACGTATTTGATTTGTAGAAGAGGGATTGACATGTGATTTGCTAGTGAAAAATAATTATATTATTTGAAACAGAGATGACAGTAAAATCCTTTTGCTAAATGTTATATCAATACCTTATTCAGCAAAAGCGTGACAATTAACAGAACTAATGCCAGGAAGTTGTTAGCTGCTCAACCAAGATTTGCCTTTCATATCCTTAGTAAAATTAATTTTAAGAAATCATGGGTTCAAATCACTACTCAAATAATAACCACTGGACGTTCTTCAGCCAGCTACTATTTTTCATCTGAAGAATGACATAACTTCAATAAAGATAAAATGTAACTGTGCCTTCTGGCAACTTGCACCATTATGAGGGTACTCCATATCTGGGGAAATTTGACTTTATTGTTCTATTGGACATGTGAAATATTTTAAAACCATTGTGCATAATTCTTGAAATTTATGCTCTGCTTTAATATCTACTTAAGAGTTCTTTGCCAGAGGTATTTATTTCTCAGGCATATTTCTTCAATGTGCTTAATTTTTAAAGTACTTTATATGCATGCTTTTAATGATATATGTACCTGCAAAGGTAACTTCAGTGAGTGGCACCATTTGCCATTATACATTTACATATAATTTGAATATTTATAATGTATTTATTAATCAAATTTATATAGCACCTCCATTTCATGAAAAGTGACACGTGGTGATGTACAATAGGTGATTAACAAGAATACATAGGTATATAGAAACAGGCATTTAAAATAAAAAAAACAGCATTAAAATAGAGATTATTAAAACTAAAAATATATATGATACCATTACTGTTTTGTCTCTTGCACTTTGCCTTGTGTCATCTCCTGATACATGGTTTTTAATTGTTTTAGTCTTTTGTGTTGTATGCAAGATCATTTTATTTTTTGGCTTAGTTATGTTTTGGCATTCTTTATGCTACCCAGACTCACAGATCAGAAATAAAATAAATAAATAAAATTAATACTAAAAGCAGGTTCAGAATTGTTCAAGGCAAATAGGTAATCTGTGGTAGAAAGGAATTCAGCTTTGTTGGTCAAAGTGGTATCTACTGGAACATGCTAAATCTAAATATTTACATGCTTCTGACATGTATTTTCCAAATTAATTGGGCACATGCATTCCCTCTCTGAGATATATGGGCAGTTCAAAAATGTGAAAAATAAATATAAATAAATAAATAAATTTGGAGTTCGAACCTGAATGGCTCAAGGTTGACTCAGCCTTCCATCCTTCCGAGGTGGGTAAAATGAGGACCCAGATTGTTGGGGGCAATATGCTGACTCTGTAAACCACTTTGAGAGGGCTGGAAAGCACTATAAAGTGGTATATAAGTCTAAGTGCTATTGCTATTGCTATTCTAATATTATTTCACAAAATCCAATTTGGGAAATAACGTTCCTCTATTTCTTCTTTAATTTGCCAGTCAATTGTGGGGAAAGCCCATCCGAGCATTGTTGATTCTGTGCTGAGTGTGCTTCGCTCTCTGAATTTTGAGGTACAATATGAAGGTAAAACTTTGCTTTTTTGGCATTCATTATCCAGGTGTTTTCCCAGCTAATTTCTCAAGATTCTTTCAAACATTTGAAAAGATTCCCTGTATCTGTTTCCTGTATTTACATGTACATTTTGGAGGTCATGTCTTTAGATTGAGAAGTGTAATTTAGCATCAGTTTCTCAAAATTTGTCAATGAGCAGTTGTAAATTAGTTATTCTCTTTTAACTACATAAGTATGAGTTTATTTGAATCTATAAGAACCACAATATTGCATATCTTCATTGGAGTTTTACCTCTTGTTTATTCTACATTAACAGATTTTATAAAAATCTCTTATGTATATTTCCTTACCTTTCTACATTTTCCATTAGTCCTAGCCTATATTGATCCTAAAAGCTAAGATATATCATCAGGAATGTAAAAGGGGATGCATGCATCCTCTATGAGTGCTGTATACTCTTCCTCTGGATATGATAATAATGTACCGTAGTAGTTGTAGTAGTTTATTTGTTGATTAATCTTGCAGCCTTATCAATAAAATAAAATAATAAAATAGAAACCCTGGTAAATCATTGACATAAAAATTAAATAAACACTAGGGTTAGAATACAACCCTGTCTGGGGTGATAGCTTATATAAATTCATTATTTATTTTACTACAAATAGATTTCCTTGATTCTTTTATATTTTCACTTTTCATCCACTGTTTTGCTTTATACAGTATTTCAAAATGAAAGGGATTGCAGTGTGCAGCTTGATAGTATTATTTTAGACTTTCCCCCTTAATTCTATTTTTTAAAAAGACATTTATACTGTGCTGATTTCTCTCAATAAAGAAGTCAAAACACAAAACACACTGTAAGGACATGTCCAATTATTGGCTGGGAATTCATGACTGAATGATCATGTCATAATGATCTTTTTATTAAGATAAATTTTAGACTGCATATAGCTTCATTTTTAATTGATACTTTCATTAAACAAAACAAAAATGAATTATAAGTTTTTAATAAATTTGTTTTAAAAGGACTTAGTTCTCCTTAAGGGATAAGATAGAAAATCTAAAGATAAATTATATCATAATTGTTTTAGCCAGTAATAGCTGATTGTGACAAGGGCTGGTTATGCTATTTTGAAATACCTTTGTACTGATCAGTTGGTTTATTTTTTTCCCCTGAAAACAGATTTGCAACTTAATGACATGACATCCAAAGTATGACATCCAAAGTATTATTCTTGGCTGATCTTGCAAGTTGGACAAAGTCAACCCTAGATAGTACTTGAATAGAAGGCTACCTCCTGAGTTATGAACTAAATTATTACTTTATAGGTTTTTTTTAAAAAAGCCATGCTGGGAGAAGTAGCAATCCACATTTGTAAGGCTGATATGAAAATTAACATGGAAGTAGTTACCAAGAATTGAATTCAAACAGGGTGTCTTTAGTATTCTGTAACACCTCCATCATTATAGGCCATTATAATATCTAATGTTTCCATGCATATTTCATATATGTCAGTATCCTTAATAGCAGACCCTTTTTAATGAAATAAGACCATAACGAATCAGAGCTAAATGGTATAATGGGTTCTGTTCCATCCACCAGAGTCTATGAGAAAAACTGAAGCTGCATTGTATAAGAGATACTGTATAATTAAAACCAGCTTCTGGCAAAATAGGAATTTTGATACCTTCCTTCTTGTAGCTATTCAACTGATCAAGGACCTTATGGCCTATGTTGTGCGACCAGCTCTGCTAAAAGGCTTGGTTTCATTACTAAAGCCATCAAGGCAGGAGACAGCCAAGATGCAAGCAAGAATTTTGGAAGGTAATATTGTAGTATTTCAATTTGTCTGTATGGAAGATGGTTCCTACTTTTATACAGGTGGTCCTCGACTTACAACAGTTCATTTAGTGACCAAAGTTATAATGGCACTGAAAAAAGTGACTTGTGACCACTTTTCACACTTACAACCATTGCAGCATCTCCATGGTCATGTTATCAAAATTCAGATGCTTGACAACTGTCTCATATTTATGAAGGTTTCAGTGTCCCAGGGTCCTGTGATCATCTTTTGTGAGCTTCTGATAAGCAAAGTCAATGGGAAAACCAGGTTCACTTAACATCCGTGTTACTAGCCTAACTGTAGTGATTCACTTAATTGTAGCAAGAAAGGACCTAAAATGGGACAAAATTCACTAACAAATTTCTCACTTAGCAACATAAATGTTGGGCTCAATTGTGGTCATAAGTTGAGGACTATCTGCAGTTATATCTGTATTTGCATGAGGAGAGGGAAATATTTTGCTATCAGAGGAAGCAATATATATGTTATCTAACTAAACTTTTTACCATTGGTCCATCAGATTCCAAATCTTCAGAAACTTAAGCCTGCAGTTCTGAGGAGATAGATCCCATTATAAAACTTCACCATTGATTATAGTTGCATATGCTGGGAATCTGGGGACAGGACTGTGTTATTCAAAGGAAAACAAACAACATTGCTGAAAGAAAAAAATCAAAGTCCCTACTTTACTACTGAAATGAAAAATAGCTATATATGTCTAATACTGCTGCTGCTTAAAAGGTGGAGAATTTGGAAATGTTTTTCTTGGGAAATCTGATTAAGAATGTTCTACCTGGCTCCTACTCAAATCAAAAACAAAACTTTGGAAAAGCGATGGGGTACTGTATTTGATTTCTATATTATATCATCTGTTCAGAAGCAGGATCTTTGCGCCTGATGGAATCCTTGCCAGCATATGTTCAGCAAGCTGCAGCAGCCAAAACCATTGGGTAAGAAATTTTTAGTTACTGGAACTAACTGTCTAAATATTTGAAATAACTGTTCCTCTAGCAGAGGAGGTACAAGAAACCACCAGGTCCAAGCAAAAACCAGAACACGTATGATACAGACACTCTTCAGATACCTTTTAAAGAAAAAAAGTACTTGTTTTCTGTATTCCTGCTTGGTACAGTGGAGAAGGCCATTGTTCCTATAATGCTTTAAAAATTAAGACTTTTATCACAGTTACAAAGGAAAAGGAAAAGAAGCAAATACTGTTTAATGGGATGGATATATTTAAATATTTGTACCTTTCAATATATAAAATGTTATTGTAATGGAAGATAGAAAAGGGTAGTTCTGGAGGAGGGGATAATTAAATAATTGAAATAATTAAGACATACTTTTTTAGAAATTATATTGATCCAAATTAATAATGATATATCAGTAGTCATTTACAAGGATCCGTGTAATTGTAATATTATTACATATGGCAGTTTTATTAAATATGGACAGTATTACTGAGTACTTATTATTTTGTCTGGACCTCTGTTGGTATCCTGACCATGTTGACATGTGATTAACATTGCAATATGGACAGCATTACCATGCACTTATTACAGTGTTATTCTACAGAGACAGTATTATTGAGTAGTTCGGAGCTTTACTAATATCCTGAAGAAGGCATATTTAATTGTTTAAATTATCATTGTTGAACGGTAAAGTGGTTATTTAAATAAGTGATTTTTAGGTGGTGTTAAATCATTTAAATTATGCAATGTAATACATGTTTTATAGTAGAGTGCACAATGTGCACAACTCCGCTCAAGGGCTATATCAGGCTTTGCTGCACTCCCAAGTGGGAGTCCTTTTTCTTTTCTTTTTTTACTATTTAAAAAAAATAATTTTATTATTTTTACTGATAAGTGATAGTAGCAAAATCTGGTCCAATTGCTGCTTTTTACTCAGAAAAGGGTGCAATCACATTTAAACTATGCTGTTCTTGTTATTATTTCATCTTTTTTAAAAAAACCAATTACAGGATTGTTATTTTTGTTGCTGCTGCTGTTACAGGGGAAAGAGCAAATGGAATAGTACCAAAGAAAATCTGATGTATTTATTTATTTAGTGTTCTGTGAGATTTGTGTAGGTTTAAGGGGCTAAATAGATTTTGTAGAAACTCCAAGCAGCCCTTTGTTCTTTAATGACCCATTCAAAAAGATAGAGAAAAAAACATTTCTGTCTCACTTGTTCTGAGTGCTGGGAGGGTCAGGCTATGTGTAACCTGCATTATTTGAACTATTACTTCATAAAATACTTCAGTGTTAAACTGAAACACCAGCCATTCATTCAGACCTTACAAAACAGTCTGTGTTAGTATTTTAGTTGTAAACTATTCAATATTCCCCTCCCAGAATTCTGGCCCGGGAGTCTAGAGAAGTGGCTGAGGAGCTGATCTCTTTGAATGTGGTACATGGCCTTATGTGTGCCATGGGCAACAAGGACCACACCAACGGTCAAAGACAAGCTAGCATCACATTAGAGGCAAGTACCATTTGGAACTAAGGGATGACTGGATGTAGCTTATTCTTGTCATTTCTGTAACTGAGTTTGTATATGCATTTGGGATTATGGTAGTTGAACTCAATAGAAGCAAGATCAAGCTATGACAAAGTACAAGATGGACGGGGAGGAAACATGTTTGTGTAGAAAAGGGATTGCTTCCATATTTAAGCAAAGCTGGCAGAATGATATTTCTATAGTTTTTGTTTTAAAACTGCTGATAGTGAGTAAAGCTCCCCTCATCTCCCTCTCCTCTTTAGCACAAGCACATGAAGTGAAAAACAAAATACCAACTAAACCTGCCTAAGAATTCCTACATAATGCTTTAATTGAGCAAATAGTTTGAAAGGGAAACTTCATACAGTGATTTAGTACAAGTGAAGCATCCTTTGAGACAGACAGAGAGGTGTGGAAGCAGTACTCAAGGACATTAGCGGACCTCGCCCGAGCGCGAGACAAACGCTGAAGAAAAAGAAGAAGAAGAAGAAGCATCCTTTGAGAGAAACCTACTCAGAAAGAGAGAGTTCAATCCTAGATAGTGGCAGATGTTTCTCTGCTAGGGCACAAAGAAAAAATGCCTGCTGAAAACATTGCATGTGGTGTCAGGAAGGACATCCAGCCAGTAAATGCTCAGCTCCATCCAGTCATCTCAACTCTTCCCTAAAGCAAGGGCTTACAAGGTCATAAAAAAGAGGGTTTTTTTAAAGCATTCTTTCCTTGGAGTAGTTGCTACTGTTTCAAACGCTGCCATTGCTTGCTTGCATATGCACACATAGCAAGAGACCCAGCAAAATGGGTTGCCAGTGGATACACATAGTGATACAGAAACAAGTTAGCTTTCCAAATGACACAGCTATTTTATTAATTCAGGCAAGAAGATGCTTTGGAAAACACTTCGTAGATGTTTCAAATGTTTGCAAAATTGTGATGCTTTTTCTTATAGCTGGACTGATGTTTCCTTGTAGTATTTTGTACAGATGTTTATAGTGATTGAGAACTACGTTCGGAGGGCCATGGGAGAAAAATTGTTCGAGCTATTCATGGTATGTGTTATCAATCCTGTATATATTGTGCTTGCCTGATGGATTTTCAATTTTAAGTACCAAGTTTTATATTTTAAGGGCAGGATTAAGGATTAAAATCAACGTGTATTTTTAAAACATATTTCAATAGCTGCTAAGTACTATATCGCATTAAGGACTATTCAACGAGTAGTCCTTAATGGGTCTAAGTCTACATGGAGGAAAGTAAGCAATGGGATGCTATAAGGTTCCGTCTTAGGCCCAGTACTTTTCAATATCTTCATTAACAACATAGATGAGGGACTAGAAGGGGAACTTACCAAATTTGCAGATGACACTAAGCTGGCAGGAATAGCTAACACCCAAGAAGATAGGCTCAAGATCCAGATGGATCTCGACAGACTAGAACACTGAGCCATATTTAACAAAATGAAATTCAATGTAGAGAAAAGTAAAACCCTACACTTAGGCAAGAAAAACCAAAAGCACACATATAGACTGGGTGAAACCAATCAATAGCAGTTACTGCGAGGGATCTTGGAGTCTTAATGGACAACCAGCTAAATATGAACCAGCAGTGTGCAGCAGCAGCCAAAAAAGCTAATGCAATCCCAAGTTGCATTAACAGAGGGATACAATCAAGATCAAGTGGAGTTCTAATACCACTCTGTAAAGCCTTAGCAAGACCACACCTAGAGTACTACATCCAGTTTTGGGCACCACACTATAAAAAGATGCTGAGACTCTAGTAAAAGTACGGAGAAGAACAACCAGGATTAGGGGACTGGAGACTAAAACATATGAAGAATGGTTACAGGAACTAGGCATGGCTAGTCTAGTGAAGAGAAGGACCAGGGAAGACATGATAGTAGTGTTCCAATATTTGAGGGGCTGCCACAGAGAGGAAGGGTCAAGTTATTTTCTGAAGCACCAGTAGGCCAGACAAGGAATAATGGATGAAAACTGAACAAGGAGAGATTTAACCTGGAAATAAGGAGAATCTTTCTGACAGTGAGAACAATCAACCAATGGAACGGCTTGCCCTTGGAAGTCGTGGGAGCGCCATCACTTGAGACTTTCAAGAAGAGACTGGACTCCCATCTGTCAGAAATGGTGTAGGGTCTCCCGCTTGTGCAGGGGATTGGATTAGATGACCTACAAGGTCCCTTCCAACTCTGATTATCTGTTATCTGTTATCACTGAGGGAAAACAGACTAAACAAATACTACCATGACAAAAAAAATCAGAATATCAGCATTTAATAAAATCCAGATATTATATATATTTTTAAAAAAATTATACTAATTTTTCTTTAAAAAGTTGTTTATATTGGTACAGTGAAAATAGCTTAATATTAATGTATAAAATTATTCTACTATTAACAAACATAGTAATATTTAAAGTCTACATTGCAGAGGGATGTACATTCAGAGAAATTTAACTGACAATATTGAAAAGGACATTTCATTAAAACAAAAAAATGAGTTTTTCCTAATTTTCTATTCCCATCTTTCCTAATTACATTCAGAAGAAACATTATTCTCATCTCCCTACTAGGTATTTTTAAACAGTCCCTAAATCTGTTCAATTTCGATTTTGTTTTGCATGATTGCCCCACAGCAGTAGTGGTTTCTAGATTTAAAGAAAGGTAAGAACTTCAACCTGGCAAGGCATAAAACCAATGCTGCTCAGCAGTGGCTATTGGATAAACACAACATAGGCATAGGCTTAAGGCTAGGAAAAAAATGGCCAAAAGTCCATTGACCAAAATTGGTGGGAGAAGCTTAACAGTGGGACAGAAAGGTAGAAATAGTGATTTCTGTTGTTTGCCTTAGGCATATGACTATATGACTTTATTGTCCATTTGTTTGTAATGTCATTATTTTCTGGCATATCCCTACTCCAATATGTTGTCAAGTTTGCAATACTGGCTCATGGGTGAATATTCTCTCGCTCACAGAATTCTTGCTATACAGCTTCATTAACCATATTTAGCAGAGGTTGCTTTGCAATTTTGGTACACGCTGTATTATAATTGAATTTGTTTATTTGGCATATTTTTCCTTTCAAAAGTCTTTAGAATCTTCTCCATTTCAAAATAATTCATTAATGGGGAAGATCAAATTATGCCCTGGTATTTATTTGTATTAACAGCTCTTTCAAAGGGAACTGACTGCTTAAAAGGATAAAGGACACATCTGTAAACCTATGGAACATAATGTCTGTCCATAATAGTGTGCCATATTAAGTAAGCCTTGTCATTTTATAATCATTTGCAAAAAACACTCCCTGTAGAATGTTGAGAATCCAGAGACAAGACCTGGATTACTACCAATTATGCATAAATACAACACATAGCATGCTGTAGATTGAGATCAAAGGCAAGTTAATTATCTAGATAAGATTACTGAAATTTGCCATTACCAAGACCAAGAGTGGAAATATTTTGCCTTTCAGATGTTAGGAAACTGTAGTTCCCAGCAGCCATATAGATTTAATTGGAGTTAAAACAAAGACTAGTCATGATTACAGAATTGGCTAAGCGATTTACATTACTTTATTTCTCAGTATTCTTCTGGTGTATGGAATATAATTGAAAGGTGACAAGACACTGAGCGAGCACATGAAAAACAGATTTTTTCCCCTACTTCATTAGTCACAGTCGGCATGTACAATGTGATCAAAAGACTGAGGCCATCAAACCCCCAATTTAAGGACTAGGACATTAATCTGATTCACATATGCATGTTCATGTCTAATTAAACTGCAGCATAACAATTACAGTAAGACCTGTTAACGTTCCATTGAAAAAGCTTCATATGCTTGCCCATGTATCAAAGTGAAATCAATTGATGCACTTGTATGAACTTGCTTTGTTTCCAGTAATTTGTGCTATAGATAATCATCATGGGATTCGAGTTAGGAAAGTGAGTAAAGAATTTAGTGTTAATGGTTTTGCGACAGGCAGACATGAGTCATTCGTGAATTGCATGTTTTCAAATTAAAATGAACATTTTCCTTTTCTCAGCAAGATGCTGCAAATTTGTACTTGAATATGGACGCTGTACAGGCTGATATACTTGCTACCAATATAGTCAATATTCCAGCAGATTGTTTGGCTAAAGGAGAAACTTCTTTTACAGGTATACTTTTTGCAGTCATGGGCAAAAGTCTACAAGAAACATATATACAAAATTGTATATACAAGTTATGGAATTGTAAATTCTCCGTTGATGCAGAATCAAAAAAGCATTTAACACATAATTTACAGCTAAATTTATAAACTGCTTAGATTAAACAAGCAATAAAAATATGAAAAGCGGTATTTTTATATATCCTTTTGTACGTATTTGTGTATATAAAACCTGTGGAAGGAAATACCAGCTGACAACCCAAAATGGATAAAATCATATCTCTGATATAACTTTATGGCAAAAAACCTGATCTATAGTCATTTGATATTTAATTTCTGCGGCACCAATCTCTGATCTGAAATGAACAGTGTTCATGTGTATACATAGGTATGCATATACATACATGCTTAAAATTAGTTCAATGCTTTAGTAATAGATTCAAGACTAAATTGTTTTGGGTTTTTTGGACTGAAATTATTTTTCTCCCAACCTAGAGACAGAATCAAGCCCTGAAGAAGAATGGCAATCTGAAGACAGTGAAGTACTTTCTGAGTCACTTGCTTAATTTCATTCAAGTATTAGGCTTATTGTTGATTTTAATCTTCTCTCCATTTTTCTGCACCCTTTGCAAAAAGTACCTTTTTCAAAATCTTTTAATGCATCCCTGTGAAGAATGTAACTGCAGTGCAAACTGTGTGGCATTCGCGACATTGGGACAGATGATTTCTATTTTCATTGACTAGATAATTACTTGACTAATTTTCTCATCTGTTGCAGTACACAGATTGTACTAAACTATAGTTCCCATAATCTCACAACAAATAGCAATGGTTCAATACCACTGAAGGAGATAAAGCTCAGGAAAATTTAAGGAATAAAAATGGCTTTTACCATTGGATAATTTTTGGCCAGTTTTATAGCCCAACCTAATTCATATCATTATGAATTATATATTAATGTGGAACAGCTCCTTGTACAACTAACCTACCTTCTAAAAGAGAAAACGGAATATCTATGTTAAATAAAATTGCATTGAGTTGTTGAATTTAATTTGTACTTCAAGATTATACTTACCTTCAGATTAATTTATTTGCTTAAATACTTATATGAATACATAGTTTCTGCTGCATTCTCTTATAGCCTGTATAACCAAGAACATAAACTTTCCAATTATACATACATTTGCTAAAAGTCAACCTTAATGCACAGTAGGTAGCGCGACTTGTTGACTAAATGTTTTAAATCATAATTTTCATTATTCCAGCTGGAATGAGCTTACAATTTAACAACTGGAATACAGCTGTCTACTCTGAAAATAGTTTTTCCTCAAATTCATAAATTCACTCATCAAATTCATAAAGATTATTTATTTGGTCTGAAAATAATTGAAACATGACATCTTTTCTAACAGCATTTATTATTAAAAATATATGCTTTTGAATCAGATCAGATAAAGGAAGGAAATAATTAGACTGAAGAGTAAGAAAGAAGAATATAAGGTATAGGTGTTTGCTGATGACATGGTCTTCTTTGTTGAAGAACCAATGGAGTCAGGTATCTATTTATTACAAGAATTAGAAGAATATGGAATGGTAGCAGGACTAAAAATTAATAAAGATAAAACAAAAATAATAACCAAAAATTTGACAGGTGGTCAGAAAAAAAGAATTGGAAAGGAAATTGGGATTACAAAGTGTTAAAATACCTAGGAATTTGGCTAACAGGAAGGTGCTCTTCCATAAAAGAGAATAATTAACATGAAACTACGTTTACAGATAAAGATCTAAACAACTGGGAAAAATTACAACTATCATTATTAGGCCAAATAGGGGTATAAAAATGAATATACTACCAAAATTATTATATTTCCAAACAATACCTATAAAATTTGATTATTTTTTTTTCAGGATCTAGATAAGACAGTTATGAAATTTATATGGATGGGGGGGAAGCATGATTAAAACTGAAGATGTTACAAGATACCGTGTTTCTCACAAAATAAGGCCGGGCCTTATTTTTTTTTGACCCCTGAAAAAACGGCTAGGCTGTCTTTTCGGGGGTGACTTAATTTCCTCCCCCACCTAGAGTGCCCCATGTGCACGTATCTCTCCACAAGGCCGTTTCAGCCGACAAAAGCTCCCCAAAGGCAGAGTCACCAGCCGCTTTGGGGCGAGGAGTGGCTGCCCGCCTCCCCTCACCATGAGGCAGTGTCTTTTGGGCGATAGAAGCTTCCCAAGGGCAGTCACCAGCCACTTCGATCAGCCGGTAGAAACGGCCTCGGGGCAAGCACCCACACACACACACTCCCCTTGCCGCGAGGCCGTTTCTATCAGCCAATGAAAGGTCCCCGAAGGCAGAGTCCCCAGCTGCTTTGGGGCGAGGCGTGGCTGCCCACGGGTCACTCATGACAGGAGCACCCACGCACACTCCCCTCACCATGAGGCAGTGTCTTTCAGGTGATGGAAGCTCCCCAAGGGCAGTCACCAGCCACTTTGATCAGCCGGTGGAAGTGGCCTCGGGGGCGAGTGCCCATGCAAACTCCCCTTGCCCCGAGGCCGCTTCCACCAGCCAATCAAAGTGGCTGGTGACTGCCCTTGGGGAGCTTCCATCGCCCGAAAGACATTGCCTCATGGCGAGGAGACACAGGCAGCCACGCTTCGCTCCGAAGCAGCTGGTGACTGCCTTCGGGGAGCTTTCATTGGCCAATAGAAGCGGCCTCGCAGTGAGGGGAGTATGCGTGGGCGCTCCCCTGAGGCCGCTTCTACTGGCCAATCAAAGTGGCTAGTGACTGCCCTTGGGGAGCTTCCATCGCCCGAAAGACACTGCCTCATGACAAGGGGACATGGGCAGCCACACCTCGCCCCGAAGTGGCTGGTGACTCTGCCTTTGGAGAGCTTTCATCGGCCGATAGAAACGGCCCCGTGGCGAGGGGAGTGTGCGTGGGCGCTTGCCCTGAGGCCGCTTCTACCGGCCAAAGCGGCTGGTGACTCTGCCTTCGGGGAGCTTCTATCGGCTGATGTTCTATCAGTAGTAGATCGGTGTATTCTAGCCTAGGCTACCTGCAGGGCGCTTCTAAAGGCAAGTTTTCTCCCCCCCCCTTCCCCCCCATTTCTCTTCATCTCATGTAGTTCTAACGATGTGAGAAATGGCGGGGAAACGCATGGTTTAAATAGTCCTAAATTTTGGGGGCAGGGCTTAATTTCACCTCATGCCTAGAAATCATGCTGGGCCTTCCTATTCGTGGAGGCCATATTGTTGGAGAAACATGGTAGTAGAACCAGAGGCGGCCTTGGACTCCCAAAATGGGAAACATTACCAAGCAGCAATTTTACTGTGTTAGAGTGGGTAAATCTAAAAAATAAAAGAATCTTGGCAATAGAAGGTCATGACCTCCAAATTGGGTGGCATGCATTCCTATGGGATAAAAAGAATAAGATTCATTTCTATTTTCATACACATCTGATAAGGAACTCACTATTACAAACGTGGGAGAATGTAAAAAAAAAAAAAGCACTATCTGAAAAGGCCAAATTGGATCTCACCTATGGAAGCAATATTATATCCAAATAGTAGGGATATTAAAATAATGTTTAGATATGAAGAATTATTAGATGAACAGGGGGAATTAAAAATAGTGGATAAATTAAGAGAACAAGGTATAATATTGGACTGGTGGGCATACTTGCAAATTCAAATCAAACTTAAGATACAATGGAACAAGGGATAGATAAGGATCTACAAAAACTGGACCAAATTTTGACAGGGAGACATAAAATTCATAACATGTATGTATAATTATTTATTGGAGGTGGAACAAGAGGAAGAAATTGTTAAGGGATCAATGATCGCCTGGGCAAAAAATGTAGGTCATAACATAAATTTGGATGAGTGGGAAAAGATTTGGACCGAGAACTAGAAGCTGACTTTGTGACGGCATTTAAGGAAAACCAATACAAAATGTTTTGTAGATGGCACTTCGTGCCGGCAAGACTGCAAAAATGTATCCAAATACAAAGCTGGAAGTGCAAACAAAAAAAGGAATGTTTTTCCATATGTGGTGGCGTAGAGATGGCTCTTTGAAATTACAAATTATAGACTGAAATTGGAACCAGAAACATGTCTATTAGGTATGATTAAAGGGAATTTGAGTAAAGATAAAAGATACCTTATTGTACACATCTTAACGGCAGCAAGAATTACCTTTTCACAAAGCTGGAAGAGCGACAAAATACCACCAGATGAAGCTTTAATTCAAAAAATAATGGATTCTGCAGAGTTAGACAAATTCACTATGGAATTAAAAGACAAAGATGATCAAGATTATTATGCGATATGGGGTAGGTGGTATGAATGGGTGAAGAATAAAGATAGAAACTGATGTATAGTTACAAAACAAGAAATATGTATAAACAAATGACAAATAGAAAATGGAAATGGACAAATGGAAATGAGTTTTGTATTTTTTATTTTTAAAGAATAAAAATTATTAAATATATATAAATTATTTATTTTTCAATAGCAAGCAAGGTTTTCAGAAAGTTGTTTAATAAGTTTCTGTCTTAAAACCTTTGATTTTAGGTGTAACCACACATACTCAGGGCTATCTATTTCCAGAAATTTATATTTAGAGCAATGGTTGATATTCCTGCTATGTGATCCGTTCAAGCACCATATCTTAACTTTCTGATCCCCAACACTGTTAAATTGTATTTTTTCTAATTCTGAGTTTAATTGTGGCTATTGGATGCTTTTATTTTTTTTAATCAGTAGCCCTATTTTTATGTGTAATTATGGCAATCATTATTAGACAATTATCTGAAAGGAACAGCAAAATTTGCCTATTTAAAAAGAAATGTGTCTCCTGTAGCAACTTCTTCTACCAATAAAACTCATCCAATTGGATTCTTCACTCATTTAAAAGGTCAGAACAAACTAGAGACCTACAGAAAACGCCATAGTGCTTTTGCAAGGCAAAATGAATTAATGAATTCAGAAAACTTTATTTAAACACTTTTCCTATCTTAAGAACAGCAAATCCAGTTTAAGACTCACTGGTTTGTGCTCAGTGGTAACAAAAAAATATAAGCCCTCCTTATGCAACTTTCAGTACTGTAAAAGGGGGGGTGAAGTCCTAAAAATTTCTGGCCGAGAGCTGTCCCTTTCCTGCATCAGGTTTAAAAGACGCACTCAAAGCAGATAGGCTGGATCATCTGTTTGCTTTTAAAATGCATTAATTGCCAACCAAATAAGTGACAGACAAATAAAGAGGGGCAAAGGTTCATTTAACAGGTGGGCAGTTATTGAAGATGACTTTGATTCATGTGCTTGCTGGCTTGTTCTTCCATTTGCATGGCTAGCGTTAGTTCATCTAGAGTCTCTGTGGAAAGTGAAAAAGGAGAAAACAGACAAGTCAAAATCAAAGTGAAGTCCAGATTGTAAGAGAATTCAGAGAAAGCTTCTTCCTTTCTATTGGAAGGAAATAATCCCCCATTGAGGCCCATTAAATAGAAACATTAATTGAACCGGGACAAATGGAAATGAGAATGCTGGTCTTTCCTATACATCTGAACTAGAGTGCACCTCTGTGCTAGAATGACTCACAGGCACTAGCATGAGGTTTCTTTCATTAGTTTAGTGGGGTGGGTGGGGGTATTTTAATTGCTTCTACTTTTTCAGGTGGTCAGATAACAATAG